GTAAGAAGGGGTTAGCGGTATAGTAAGTAACCTAGAGGCTAATGTGGCAAATGCTAAGTTTAGAAAAGCAGATGTCTGTGTATGAACTCGTTGATCTTGAGGTATAAAATGGCTTATGTTCAGTAGAAAGTTGCGAATATTCAGTTAAGCAGCGACTGATGTTGAGATGAGCCTTGATTATAATTTTACCTAGTATTTTATCGAATTTCGAGAAATTTAAAGCTCCGAGTATGAAGCTATGCAGGAGTATATGTTCAGTATTGAAATGCCTATAGCAACTTACGGACCAGGCAATAAGTCCAGCAGCATCTCAATCAATCGTCAGTTATGGAAAGATCGGGTTCCAAAGGCCGGATCCCTTGCGACTCAAGTCACGAAAAGCACAAGAATCGGCAACAGGCCATGGGCCTATTTCTTCGGTGCCGACACTTCTATTCTATTCTACATGACGATCCCTTGATGTGATAAAGATGGGAAAATGTCTGCTTATAACTCGACATAATTAAGCACATAAGTCTTGAACCATCGAAATGATGAGGAATCTGTTTCCCACGTTCCTGACATAGCGGGGCTGTGGCGGTGACTGACTTGATCTTGATGAGTGTGGAAGACGTGCTAATTTATAAGTGAGGAAACTGTAAAGTGACATCTGCATGTCTCTAGCAGATGCTGACCGGCAGCATCTGAAATGAACTACCGTGCAATGTATCATACTCTGCTGCCCATCATTCCATGATGCCCACGCCTCCCGCAGCCACCTAACCTACTCTGATGCTCATGCCCCACCGTTGCCATCCTTCCTTCCTTCCTGCTCATGCCCCCCGTAGCCAAGCTCTCGTGCTCCAGCAGTCTGCCAGTGCCGCTCTTGGTGGATGGTGTGCGCGTGTCGTACCTCCTGAACCACTGGCCTGCATTTGTGCATCAGCGCCCACGAACTTTTCTTCATCCTTCGATTCGATGCTGTAGTTGCCAGAACACTAGGCAGCCACAGCTCCTAGTGCTTGTTCCTAGGTATGTCAGCCTTTCACTTGCTCTTGGATGACTTGACATTTACCTAGGAAATTCGCTATATGTTTTAGGAAAACGCGACTGACTTCTGGATGCTCGCTCGTCTCTTCAGCAGCTTCGGTTGCCAAAGGCTCGCCTTTGAAGATTCTTTTAGTCTCGTAACATTTATGTTCAATTTGTCTTGGTTATTGTGCAAAGCCTTGGTTTCAGTTTTGACATCTTGTAAAATTCATGATCGTTCATGCAATTGATTTTATGCCGTGATCAACGAAGGATGCTTCACTGCTCTGCGAAGAGAGTGTTTATCACGGGAGAACGGATCAATACGGGCACAAGTGGTGAAGTTCTTGATGGTCAACCCTGTCATTTGGGCTTCTAAAGATTATCTTATGCGTTTTACCAGCTTCTTTCAAGCACCAATATCGACGAAATAACTTCCACTTGACGCAGTAGGGGTTCTCTCTAAATCAATGTTGATCTTAAACACAACCATTAAGAGCTCGATTTACCAACACCTTTTCGAGTTCGTCGGACTTCTTCATAGTCTGACTCTCAGGCTCTCATCGTGCCACCACCAGTCAGTGATGCTGGAGTGAACCCAAATGCTGATATGCCTTTCTGCATATGCCGTCATCGTGATACATAAGATTAAAGTAATAATTTTCATAATGATACTGCTTTCGACCACCGTAATACTTTTAATAATAATACTGCTTACGCATAGTTACGGTCACCGTAATACTTCTCTTAATAATACTGCTTACGACCACCGCAATACTTACTACAATAATACTGCTTACGATCATCGTAATCCATTCCCAATAATACTTTTTACGACCACCGCAATACTTTCTACAATAATACTGCTTACGATCATCGTAATACTTACTGCAATTATACTGCTTACGACCACCGCAATACTTTCTAAAATAATACTGCTTACGATCATCGTTATCCATTCCCAATAATAATTTTTACGACCACTGTAATACTTTCTGCTATTATACTGCTTAGTGCTAACGAACTCCGCAATACTTTCTGTTATTATACTTCTTACGGCTAATGCAATACTTTCTGCAATATCACCACCAGCCAGTGATGCTGGGGTGAACCAAATGCTGATATGCCTTTCTGCAAATGCCGTCATCGTGATACATAAGATCAAATTAATAATTTTCATAATGATACTGCCTTCGATCACCGTAATACTTTTAATAACAATACTGCTTACGCATAGTTACGGTCGCCGTAATACTTCTCTTAATAATATTGCTTACGACCACCGCAATACTCTACAATAATACTGCCTACGACTACCGCAATACTCTCTACAATAATACTGCTTACGACCACTGCAATACTCTCTGAAATTATACTGCATGCTTATGACCACCGCAAAACTTTCTACAATGATACTGCTTATGATCATCGTAATACTTACTGCAATTATACTGCTTACGACCACCGCAATATTTTCTACAATAATACTGCTTCCGATCTTCGTAATACTTACTGCAATTATACTGCTGACGACCACCGCAATATTTTTTACAATAATACTGCTTACGATCATCGTAATCCATTCCCAATAATAATTTTTACGACCACCGCAATACTTTCTGCTATTATACTGCTTAGTGCTAACGAACTCCGCAATACCGCAATACTTTCTGTTATTATACTTCTTACGGCTAATGCAATACTTTCTGCAATAATGCTGCTTACGACCACCGCAATACTTTCTGCAGTAATATTGCTTACGATCACCGTGATACTTATGATCATAATAATACTTACATCATCACAATGTTCACGATCTAAGTAATACTAATGATCACCGTATTACTAACGATAATTGGGCTCAATAATCCTAAAATATTTGCCCAACCCTAATACCTACCTGCAATGATACCCACTGTAACCCTACTACTCATTTTGCTAAACCTTGTAACCCTACCCAGTTTCTCAGTTAGTCTAACTCCATTACCCAATTTACAAGAATTGAAATCCATTAGATTATAAATAATGCATCTTCGACAACAAAAACCCATGGTATAAATGCTTTAACCTACAACAAATTCATTTTTACTTCGGTGAAGGCATTAAACCTTTGGTGGAAAAAGGTACAAGCGTCTAAAAACGTACTATTTGCAAGGAAACTTTAATTTTGCCAAAAAATAGACCATGAATTATTTCCGTTGGTTACAGGACCAACAATTCCATTTTTCTTTCACCCCACCCCTTCAGGAGGATAGGATTTATGCTCTATGGACATCGTTATTTTTTTATTTATACGGGAACCATATTGTCAATTAACCAAACAGACATTAATTCTAACCACTCTTGCCTGGTGTCGAATATCCGACTTTGGCTCCAGCAGGTCTACAGGGTAACTTGGACCTCACCAACCCTTTTTTTGATATCAGAATTTATACACTAGCAATTTCTCAAGAGTTTCTTCTTTCTTCTTCATCTTTTTTAGAGTTTCTTCATTTCTTATTTATCTTTATTACAGATCGTGGAAGAACTCATCACTCATCTTTACATTATACAAAACTCGATATAAATTTCGTACACGCATCACATGATTTTTTTTATATTTGCATTATGCTTGTCTTTGCTCAAATTCTGAAAAAAACCGTTGCACTAAATAGGGAACTGTGAGGTTCAAAAGTTTTCGTGGTTGGAAGGGCAATGAAACGGAGTTCCTGTTCCTCAGACTTCAGGGTTTGGGTAGTTGAGAAAATAAATGACCACCTCACAATGTTCCGCTGCAAGCTACTTTGGAACTAAGTACCGTCCCAAATATATTGAAAATGAGAATAGATACACTGACAAACCAGGTACTCGTAGTCTCTTGCATTGCTGGTATCCTCTGTTATTGCAGGTAGTGTTTGATTGCAGGTAATCTTTGGCATCGCATGTAATCTCTGGCACTGCAGGTAGTGCCGGGTATTGCATGTAGCCTCTGGCATTGCAGGTAGTTTCTGTCGTCTCTGACAGCGCAGTTAGTATCTGGCATTGCAGGTAGTTTCTGACGTCTCTGGCAGCGCAGTTAGTATCTGGCATTGCAGGTAGTGTCTGGCATTGCAGGTAGTGTCTGGCATTGCAGGTAGTGTCTGGCATTGCAGGTAGTTTCTGTCGTCTCTGACAGCGCAGGTAGTGTCTGGCATTGCAGGTAGTCTTTTAGTTGCGCATCCTTAAAGCAAGACGATATGCGCCGCTTGAGGAGCGAAGACGACAGGAGTTACGACCTGCGGGACTGCGAGCGTTATGGCTTTGTTAGCACGTCGTTAAACCGACCGTTTCAATGCTTTTTCAGCAGCCGATGAGACACTTAAACGGCGCTGTGAGAGCTTGTCTTGCTAAATCATGCCCTTGTACTCGTGTTATTATTCTCACATCGCGTATTAGAAGTAAATGAAATTATTTCAAACAATTATTCATGTTTTTGTATTAATAGTGTAACGATAAACTCATGTCTTCTTCAACTGTGGACATGTGACCAAATTTTAAAATTCTGTCTGGCATTCGTCAGTCAGTATATATCATCAATTTGCTGATATATACTTCAATTATTTCTGAGTACTACTTATCTACGGGAATAGTCGTGGACGGCCGTGGAGTTCTGCCTAATTGTAATAACTTTTTAGTCATAAAATATTACGAGCACCAGCTTTTCACTGATCAGCAATGTAAGCGTACTATGCTCTGACAGACGAGAAGCATGCAATCCAATGTGTGCAATTAGAAGACATGTTCATGTCTCTGCAGTATAAGGAAGAGGTTATCGGCGCGTTTAAAAATTGTAACAACCTAAGTTTCAGAAAATTTTGTGCTAAATAGGAAGAAACGGAGAGTTTACTGATTATTTTCTGGCTTTTATTAAATTAAAGCTTGTCTTTAACTTAGGTGTAAATTCAAGCTTGTCTTTAACTTAGGTGTAAAAGTAAAAGGGTTTAGTTTGCTTCGAACTAATTGTGAATTCAACTATATTGTTGTGTGTCTATTCTAATATCAGGAAATGGTGCATAATAATGACGGCCAAGGTAATTCTTTTATTACTGCTTTTTGCGTATAATAAGCGGTGAAGTTTATTTTTAATAAGCGCTAGAGGCCGTGTATTATCTTATCAGCGGTACTAACCGCTGATAATAATAATAATTGCATCAGCAATACATAACTATCAGCAATACTCTATATGAGTGTTGGAATAAAAGTTCGCTTGGTAAAGCCAAGGGATAAGCTTTAAAAGAATTAGAATAGTTTGGCGTTAATTTTATCCATGCTGGCAGAAGTTGTGTTTTATAATATCAGGATTTATTCTACTGTATGATAGAGCTTAAGTAGTATAACGGCAAATGTAAGGTTTATGAACTAAAATTTTTTGTTCTATTAAGGCAGAGGTAGAGATTACGTAGTTTAATTTCACATCTTAGGTACCTCTTATTTCAGAGGTTAGGTATTCCGAACGCAGAAATTAAACACTCATATGGCAGAGGTTAGGTTTTCTAATGTCACTTTTACGTATTGTAATAGCAACGGTAATGCTATTATAGCTGCTGAAGCTAAATTATTACACATCGTTAGTTATGTTTATGTGCCTCAAACGTACGAACCGAGGCTATGCATGACGAGGAAAAGTTATGTAAGAGAAATGCGTATTAATACGGCCATGTTTTTTCGGTTGTGGCTCGTGTAACAAACTGTTGGTAATGAATTTTAATGGCAGTGCGAAATTATAACGGTTGAGGTTACGATAAGAAGAGGCTGCGATCATTATTTATTACGACTGGGGTTATGATTCATAACGGATGCGTTGATATTAATAAATGTTGCGTTTAGGAATTGTTACGGTTATGAATTATAACGTCTACGGGCAATAATGGTAACAGTTGCGGTTACGAATTATCACCGTTCCCGATAACAATTGTAACGGGTGTGGATGAGAATATAACGGTTGCAGTTACTATTGGTAACGGCTACGGTTGTAAATACGAATGGCTGAGGTTGTGAATGGTAACGGCTGCGGTTATGAATGGTAACGGCTGCGGTTATGAATGGTAACGGCTGCAGTTGTGAATGGTAACGGCTGCGGTTATGAATGGTAACGGCTGCGGTTGTAAATGGTAACTGCTGCGGTTATGAATGGTAACGGCTGCGGTTATGAATGGTAACGGCTGCGGTTAGGAATGGTAACGGCTGCGGTTGTGAATGGTAACTACTGCGGTTATGAATGGTAACAGTTATGTTTTGCAACCTGTAGCAGCGGGTGGGCGGTCAGTTCATTAAAGAAAGTAATCCCCAATTACGCCGCGACTGACGTTTGTTTATCAGCTCGCTACCAGCTGATGTCTTGACATCACGGCGTCAGCTCCATTTTTAGTGCATTTTCTCATTTATGGAAAAAATGCACTCTTGTGCTCGCCATGTCCGTCTGTCCGTCTGTCCGTCCGTGACCTCAAGTTTTCGTCGACGAGAAAATGCGCGCTCTGTCACTCACTGCAGTGAGTACTGAGTTATATTCTTTCAAGTCAGCATTTCGCAAGGACTGCATACGTTTTTGTATCCGATTATTTATAGCTCAACACTTCGGAAGAAACCTTCAGAAAAAATAGAAAACAGTTCATAACTGTATGTATTAAAAATATAACTCAGTACTCACTGCAGTGAGTGACAGCGAGCGCATTTTCTCGTCGACGAAAACGTGGAGTCACGGAGGGACAGACGGACGGACGGACATGGTGAGAGCACAATAGTGCCTTTTTTCCATAAACGAGAAAATGCGCTGAAAAGTGATGGCAGACTTAGTTTTATCAATTGTAACTTATGGAAAATCAATTGTCCTTTGGTTCACTGACGATTGCTTTCTGTGAACAAGTGAAATAAATACGTTCGGCGACATTCTCCCTGACTGTAACTTGTTAGCATCACCCCTGAATATCTTAATATATTAAACTAATTCATTCGTCACGTGATATTTAGCATTGTATTAAATGGCTGGACTGGTTAACAAATTAACCTGGTATGGAAATAAAATTGAATGATTGGTGATTTTTTAATTTGGTAAGTATTTAGTAGTGATCCATGTGAGTTAGTGCATAAAATATATAAATAATACTATGTTTGCATTTTCAAAATATCTAAATTATTTTAAATATCTAAACTAATGCAAAAAATATAAATTCAACCCTTCACCTTGCTTGATAGTGAATATTTTTTATTTGAAACGGCATCAATGTTTTAAAAATGTCTTCTGAAAATTTGCTTTTTGATCTGCCCACGCCAGCGAGAAATATCGTTCGACAAATTTAGAAAACAAACATGAAAATTGTTCGTAAAAATTAAATAGTCTGGACTTTCGTCGAACCATAACGGAAAAATTCCTACAAAACTGTACAGATATTACTACGTATACTATTTTCAGGTGATATAATTATAATGTGTCTAAATTAATATCTATAACCTATACTTAATAATAAATTAATAATATATTATATTTATTGCAAATTATGTACGAGCGTGCGAAATTTCGTGAAACCGAAAATAGTGAAGATCGGTAAAATGTTCACTAACGATTCGTATGTTATTGAGATGTCATTTCTAGTGGCCTAACTGGATGAGCATTGAACCTGCTTGGGATTCAATGTTCGATGAATATGATACTTTCTACTTTTTTCAACATTCTCACTCTTATTCTCACTCCATTCCAATTGATATGTTTGGTCACATTTGACTATACATATTAGTGTACCCTACAACCCTTGAAACGAAAACAGTTTTCATGAAAAATTCCCATTTATTATGTCTGAATGTGTATAATCTAAATTTGTTATTTAGATATATTTATTCGATTCAATATATTATTTGTCTATATTTTTACCTAACGCATACCGGCAAACGTTATTAAATTATATTATTTTGATGTGTTCGTGCAGGGCAGTCGGAGGGGCGCGAGTACGGTCATGCTGGCGCTCCATCTTTGGGATACCCGAAGCTTCTCGTCCCAACTGACCGCTCAATTCAACTGCCGAGTTTCAGGCTACAACGCCAGGGACAACATTGCTGCTTGCACCTCCCTTCTCGCCGCACATCGGACAAACCAAAGCTCCTCTGCTGCAGCACTAGAAGGACCCCAAAAACCGCCTCAAACCGACGTCTTCAAAGGCATTATTGACTTGAAAAAATCACCGACTATCGCCAAAAGCAAAGCTTCATTTTTCGCTGTCGAAGGACCTGAAGGTTCCTCAAGCATCTTGAAGGAAGACAAGAATCAATTTGATTGTGCGAAATTGAATAGCGTTTCTTCTGCCCTCGTGAAAGAGAATAACGTTCATTGCAGTTCAGGCAAAGTGATTAGCTTTTCGTCTATCCTTGTGACGGTAAACAGGGATTATTGTTGGCTTCCTTCTGTTCTCGGGTATCCGTTAGACGACGAAAGCATAGGTTGTAGTTTTTTAACAAAGCTCAATACCGTAGCTTTAAATAGTGAAGAAGTTAACACTGTGAAACAGAAGTTAAAGATAGACCCTGAAATCTTCAGCCTTGACAAGGCCTCGTTTCAGCCTTTATTCAATAGAATCGTCAACCTCATAGACGTTGAAACTCTCCTGGCCTCTGGTTTCATTAGTGAGAGTAAATTTGCCTTTGCCGTATTATTAAAAGGCATTGCAGTTGGAATCTTATCGGATGTCCAATATTTTAATAAAATATCAAAGCTCAGTCTTGTAATTTCAGGCAGCATCACGTTGTCAGCTAGACAAGGATCAACCGCCAACATTTAATCTCGATTCTTATTGTTGCTCTTATGTACTTCATTAGTAAAAGTTTAGTTGCAAGTATCGCATTGAAATCCCTTTATTGGTACGGTTGCTTTACCATACCATCGCTCATTTTCCATTACGCTTACTTGTCAAGTAAATAGCGCAATTTTACATTTTATACATCGAGATTCGTGGCTGCATTTACTTTGAATGCATTTTACGTAGCACGCAGGTAGCGGTATTAGCAAAACTGACTGGGTTCAATTTTTATACGCAACGGAAATTTATTAACCTGGACCTGGATCACCTCCAGATTACATGGTACTTTCAACTTAGATATTTCGTAGAATCACCCACATGAAATACGTAATTTTGCATGCATATTACGTATGCAAGGAGTGAGCTCAGGAGTTAGATAAATAAACTAAGGGAAGAGTGGCCAATATTTAGTACGTCCATCCATAATGCATCTTTAAGTTCTCTGAGACTGAGGCTAAGATACATGCTACCTGTACGATAAAATACAGTAGCATTGCCAAACGCTAGGGGACCCTGGGTTATCAAAACACGCAGTAAACGCGTTAAGCGAGTGAAAGGAAAATACTTGAGCAGTGAATGTGTTTGTGACACGCCCAAATTGAAGGTAGCAAACAAGGTTTAGGTGGCAATTGAAGGCGGTAAGCGAGCCTTGAGTGACAGGTGAAGGCGCAAGCGAGTGTTAAGTGGAATGTGAAGGCAGGAAACAAGCCTTAAGCGATAAGTGAAAAAGGCAAGCGAGCTTTACGTGACCGTTGAAGGCTGTGAACAAGCCTTGATTGACAGGTTTTTGACAGCAGACTAGCGTCGAGTGACTGCTGGCAACAACCGACAAGCGTTGATTGACAGGTTTTTGACAGCAGACTAGCGTCGAGTGACTGCTGGCAACAACCGACAAGCGTTGATTGACAGGTGTAGTCTGCCGACTAGCGTCGAGTGACTGCTGGCAACAGCCGACTAGCGTCGAGTGACTGCTGGCAACAACCGACAAGCGTTGATTGACAGGTGTAGTCAGCCGACAAGCGTCGAGTGACCGACATCAGCCTTGAGTCACTGTCCCAATGCCCGAAGGATGCTGACAACAGCAGCGATGAAGACGAGAATGTGAAGATTTGCAGCGCGTGCAGCGATGGTGGCTACACGCGCATTTCTACTGCCGTGTGCCCTAAGGTAAATGCGCTACCTTTGTTGAAAATTTTAATTGGTAGTACAAAATTATTAACAGTATTTATATATCTGTCGTCAAAGTTGAGCTCATTATTGAGTATACCATTTTGCTTTGTATTGTTATTTAGTAATTTTCATACTGAATTTTTATTTTTAGGGTGGACTATTAATATTTTTCTACAGCACTTCTGTTCTAAATTCTCAAAAAATTTCAGCTCCCGAAAATTTTGTTTTAAAATCATCTTCCATTACAAGTACGCCAGGCATTTTCTGTAAATATATTTTGGGTGTTCGCTGGATGAGCTTCTGTTTTAACATTGTAGAGGTCTTGGATTTATATTATACAACAGACAGATAACAGAGTAATTAATATCAAATGTTTAGGATACCAATTAACTTCACACGTTCCTTTCTTTTTTAACAAAATCACGTGTGATATTTAAATGCTGGATTGCGAGTCGTGTTTCCTTCATCTTAATTTCTGTTTTCAACAATCATTCTACGCAAAACCCAAGTATTTCAAACAATTTCTTTTGACGCATAAAGTATTCTCACATTTCTCTGTGTAATACGGAAAAATTCCGTATCTCCGTTTTTTCAAAGTGAGCTAGGCTAATGGATAATCACAGAGCAATAGATCAGTTTGAACTTATTATTGGACCTTCACACTCAACGAGCAGATGCTTCACTATACAAAGCATTGCTGGGTAAAATCATTCAAATTTTATATACCGTGGCTGCGAAAGTACAGCAAATATCACCTCTTTCAGAAGCAGGAGCGGTCGGCCTTGTGGCACTGCCATTGCTGAATTTTTTTAATTACGCGGCCAATCGAACTTTGTTAAATAATCTTAGGGTCTTATATAGTAACAAAACTGGCAAAAAAGGCGAAGTTGATTGTTTCAGTTTTTAAATCAGTTACACCCACTGAAGCCGCAACTACCAAATTCGTCCGCAAGGAATAGTCCAATTACTATAAAGATATACCTATTAAAAAAAATTAGCGCAGGTTTATTAAAAATGTAGCGAAAAACAGGCGTTCGGATTAAAATAAACACAGTGTCTAGAATCAAGCATACGGTCATTCACGTTGTGTCCATGCATCTACAGGGTCTGCAATAAAAAATTTTCGCAGCTCTGAATGTAAGTCAAAGAGAAGACTGCTCTTTAATCAGTGAAGTTTTTTGTGTTTGGATTGATTTTGGGAATTCTCCTGTACTAAAATCATACAAATACATGGGAAAATAGAGATTCGACCAATGCATCACTCATCTTCATCTTGTTGCATTTTTAAGTTATTCAAAATATACAGATGACTTGGCCTCACTCCAGACGCAAAAGAAGAAAAAAATATTTTAATGGATAAAGAACATTTAACACGTATTTATTTTGCTCCATTATTGTCATTATCCCTCTGAGACTAGAGAAAAATACCAAAAACACGTACAAAAATTTTGTAAATTCACTTAATGTTTCAAAACAGTGAGAAACTTTCGCAAAAACGTGCAAAAGGCAAGAAATTCGTCACAAATGAATTCTGCAAGCTAATGATGAGATTATATATATATGGCCTTTCTCAGCAAGTCCAACATCAATTGAACGAATATTTTAAACTTTTATACTTATTCATTCCAAGTTGGGAAATAAGTTGGGTACCTAGTGACAGTGCATGAAAACATGTCATGTGTCACAGGACATTGTAAATTACATAAGTGAGGAGCGGATGAACATGAGAAAACCCGTTTTTTTATAATAAAAAATCCAGCCCGGATGGGTATACGTAGGTGGGCAGCTCCCAGTGCTTACGTGTACCCAGTACAACCCAGTTCATTATTCAGTGTAACATACAGTTTACATTAATTGACGCTCATCCCTCGAGTTAGGCTGGATTACCGCACAGTTATCGCTATTGTTACGCACATTCTAGCAGACGAAATGATTGGGTCTAAGATCTGATCAGATGTCAAATTTTCGAGAACATGTTATTAAAATTCTCGTTTCCGCTAGTATGACTTGAGTTTGGAAATTATTTCGCCTGAGATTGGATGTGAAAATTTGGATTTTTCCGATTGTTAGAATTGAGAACCTATCATTATATAAAAGTTTAAATCCTTTGAAAAATCACCGAAGACCCTTCTATTACATACGACAGTTCGAAGAAGGTGGGCTAGGTCCCGTTTACATAGTTGCTATGTTGGTTTAGTATAGTTTTCATTACTATGCCTCAAATTAGGATTATCAGTAATATTTGATGGCGTTGTTCAGCTGAATCTTCCTTGAAATATCATATGTCCGGCATCATTTATTTGTGTTTATTTGACCCTAATGTCATAATTGACGTGAATAATCGTTCAATCAGCATAGCAAAGATCATTTCCCCTGACGCTGCTACCCTCGAACCTGAGAGACTGAGCGTGCCTTTAATTTGTGTTAAATGCGGCTGAATTCTAATTGAAATTACGATAATCAAGGCACTTATTCCAGTGTTTTAGGAAATTGTACCAATTTGTTTAGGAATAATGTGAAACTACAAACTAGGGCTAAGAATTGGACACAGCTGTTCGTTGCGTCAAACTGCGTCAAGTTGCGTGTGTGTTTTAGTGTAGAATTTAGTCGGTTTGATGCGCCGACGTTTGTTTTTCTCCTTGATTTGACTCATTTTCATCTTGTTGCCTATCTAATAATCGGAAAACAAGATTAATAGACTTGTATTCATCTGTAATTCTCTTTATATTAGATATTCCGCTTAACTGATGAACGAATTCAAGTTGATATTTCTTTAGCCAATAAAATCTGAGGAATCAATACAATTTTTAATTTCAATACAATTTTTAATTTAATTTCGATACAATTTTCAATTCAATTTCAATACAATTTTTCATTTAATGTTTGACAGCACTCGAGCGGATGTTGCAGGTGATCCAACGCTATAGATTGTGTTGCGCAAAAATAAACGCTCATATACAATCTTTGCGTGCTTAGAGGTTAGAAAACATAACTTTTTTACTAAGGTAAACCAAGTAAACGCATGCTTTGTGTCACGCTTCACGCAGCTTGATAGACAAGTTTTGACGATACGAGTGTGTCGACGAGTTACAGGCATATGATTGTTATGAGTCAGAGGTCGTTTACTATCAATCTCTCATGCGATGTTGGTGTAGGCCGCTAAACAGTAGGGTTTACGCTGAGCCTGCATGGAGAGCATTCACATCAAGCCTAAATGCAGATGAAACTTTTATCTTCTTCTAAAATGAAGCCTGAAATACAGGCATCGTGTGCTTCACTACAGGTCGTCTCGTGAACACTTCTCCTCACACCAGACGATGGCATTCCTGGCAAGTGCAAATGCAGAAGCTCTGATTTTGTGCATGCGAGTTCACAACCTGTGACAATGGTTGAATTCATCAAACGAACTGAATCTGGTAGAGGGAGCTCATTCATCACTTGCATGCCTATATTCAACTTACTTTGCAGGGAGGAATTGCGAACAACTGCCCTATTCAACGGCGAATAAGAATACCCGGAAATAAAATGCCCGAAAATACATATTTAATTATGAAAGAATATGAACCTTCAGTTTTGCCGTATAGCATCGTCGGAACATGGTAGAAATTAGCTAAGGCTTCTGTTACAGGTTGGTTCGGTGTTCTAGTAATCATTTAAATTTCGTTGAATATTTCAATAACCATAACTATATAGTTTTGATAATACTGAGAGTTGTTATTCAGCTCCCGGTCAACGGCGCTTAGTGGAACGTTTTTTAAACCACGGCTAACATTGTGTTATGATCGAGTTAGTACTCTGAAGTCCCTCCCGATTTTCCCGTTAAAAAAGTACACGAATCCCGTACGACAATAATTTTAATCCTTCCTGAATTGTATCGG